TCAGAGTTTGTGCTTTTGATAAAACTTCTTTCTCTATCAGAAAATGACAGGTCATCAAAACAGATTTTTTTTTTTTCATAGCAATTTTCCACTTTGCTTAAATGTTGTCAAAAAGATTTTGCATGTGTCAGATGGGATTTTTCTTTGGAGCGAGAGAAATTAACAACATTATGAAGGAGATGCCCATTTAGGGGTTTAGAAAGATATCGATTCATATCTTGTTTGACTTGGCTCTGCTTGGGTTTTGTTTTAATGTTGAATAGAGATTAGTTTTGAAACCTCAACATTTTTCACAAAACAATGTTTTCCAGCCCATCTCTAGGTTTGAGGGCTCTGAGTAAGTGCAAAAGGTATTCTCAGGCTTATAAGACAGGAGTGAATGCGTTTATTGATGCCCTTGAGAATAACATTGTGTAGCAAGGATTGGTAAAGTGAATAATCAAAAAATAGAAACATTTGAATGCATATTCCAAATTCTGTGTATGTATCCTAAGACTGGGTTATGGTTCTGTAAGTATTGCAAACTAACTAATTTTAAATGAAATTTAAACCTGATTGAATCTCAGCATGAAGATGCCAACATTCAAATTGATTCATTAGCTGACCTGAATTCTCTGATAAAATTTACTAGCATGCACAGGCAGAGGATTTATCCTGGCTGCTGTTCATGTCATTAACAGGAACAATCACTGGCAAGATACACATAGCATCAACCCACAAAAAAAAAAAAAAAATATTTTAAACACTTCAGTTATTTAGAAAAAAGGAAATGCTCTATCATGTTTAAATACTTTTTTTTTTTTTTTAACACCTATCACCTTACAACCAGTATAACAGCAAAAAGGCAACACAATGGAAGTTTTTGTTGAGCAGAGTATGCTTGCTTCAAGAAGCTGGTGTGCCAATAGAGGCACACATCAAGTGAAGCTAACATACTGGGTGAATTATGTGTCCCATCACACCAATGACTGCAGAGCCATAAAACCACCCTAAGTGTTCTAGTTACAATCAATTACATCATGCTTTAATCACATTTTAATGATGTATTAACCAAGATTTCAACAGCAATTAGTTTAATGGGTGTTTGCTTTTTTAAAACTATTTTAACTGTGGCTATATCCAGTAAGATTAAGAAGGGGAGGAAAAAAAAAATTAAAGCATTGATTGTGACCTCTTTCTTCTCCAGCAATTTCATGTGATGGGACTGAAGAGAAAGATTTTTCAGTTACTAAGCATTCATGATTTTTAAGAAATAATGTGTTTGACTTTGCTGTCGAATATATATACCAGGTTGAATATATATATACCATGAGATTTTTCTTGTCCGGGAAGATGCTGCAAAATCTAACATACTACACTGAAAATAGTTAATGCATCTCCTGTCCTTTAGTGCAGAAAGTATTACAATGCCTATTGATATCTAGGCAAAGATAAAAAAAGCATGAAGTAAAATTATTAATTATACTAATTTTTAATATAGGGGTTTAGAAAACTTCTGCAGGTGCTTGTAAAATTCCCATTGATACACATTTTCCATATAAAAATCTGACAAACATCTCTGGGAACCCAGCTCCTTTTAAAGCACTCCTAAGAATATTAACTGACAAAGAAAAGGGATTTCACAGCAAAACCCACATAAAAACCTATATTAGGAATGATACCGAACTTAAAGAATGTTGTAAAATGAGAATGGAAAAATGTACAAAATGAATTCATGCCCATTTACATGCTTTCAGTCAGGCTACCGGATAACAAAGCCTCTGTCTTTGTGTTAACACTGCAGATTAGGTCAAGTTTTTACCCCTCTGAGCTCTTTTCCTGTAAATGACGGGTTTTGATGTGAAACAAGCAACATGTCAAAGCAAGTTGAAAGATGTAGGCATTTTATGCCATGTCACAATGACAGGCCGGTGAATATTTGGGCCATTAGGGGCTTATTAGTGAATAAATGACCAGATGGTTCAGTGATGCACAGAGATGGACAGAACTGGATGCTACTAATCAGCACTGTCTGTACTTGATGTCAAATCACATGACACAGTAACCCATGGATACCGAATAAAAGTTACCATTAGCAAGTCAATTTGATATCTGTGTGGCGTAAACAGACTTATAACTGCACTTCAGAGCTGCCTGTTGTTAAGAAGAAATAATGGTAGAGTATTTAAATAAACACACTCCACTCTTATCAAGTTATGATAAATATAACTGGAATTTCAATTCCCAAGACCTCCTTTTTATTCTGAAGAGACTGTGGAAGGACATTTACATATTAGACTACCTCCACAGACAAAAAGGCTGGGCTGGAAATGCTGTAAAAGAGGCACTTTCTTCGAACACCATGGTTAGCAACATCAAGTGATGCTTTGTTTGTGCATTTGTCACAGGAATGCAAACTTGGAGAATAGGACCTGTTTTCGGGGGGGGAGGCCGTTTGCGTTTCAGTGGATTCATGCTTTGATTTTTTTATGGATGTTGATACATGTTTGCTTGGCACTACCCTAAATTTTTCCCATGGGTTTTTAAATATTTTAACAAATCCTTGTTAGCAAGTCATTTCCAAAGCGTTGCATCAGGGTGAGAAGCTTTAGGTGTTTAGTAAGGACCGCATCCTGATCTAGGAGCTGATCCTGAACCACTACTGCAGAGTAGGAAACTCCAGTCTGAATGGAGGGGGTAAGCCAAGTCTGGGGATAGGGGAAGAGTTGCCTCTGTGCTAAATCTCTGTGAGCTTAAAATAAAAGGAAGTTTTGCCTTGAATTCGGGGGAAGTACGTTTGTAGGCTGTGGCAGTTTGAGGTATACCCTCACCTTCAAGCCCATGACAAACATGGCAGTAATGCACTTTCATGAAGCAGAAATAAATGCATATCTGAGGCATGCTTTACTTCTCTCTTATGGTTTTTTATAGCAAATGAGAACAAATACAGTGCTATGACTAATGATTTTTTTTTTATGATGTACTAATGTGATTTACAAGGTGTTTTGAAATGCTGAACAAAACTTGCTTGAATTTTTCAGTCTGAAGAATAGGATGTAAATGGACGTTACCCCTTTTCCTTAAGGGTGATGATATTGGCATATGAATTTTATGTCGCAGGTTAATAATGCAATAATGGTTGGTGGCTCTAGCCATGTTTAACCATGAGTGCCACTCGATCCTGATTTTCTCTCTCTTGTTCCTCTGTGGAAAGAATATGGAAAGAATTTTACAGTATGAGTGATCATGGAAATGGGAAATTGCTGTTCCCATGGTTAAATAAGGAATTGGGTATGAAGTTAGGGAAGTCCAAGGAATACTATGTGAGCAGTCAGAAATATGCTTGTATGTTGAACATACTGAAAACTTGAAATAGCAAGAAATATAGCAGAATGGGTTAAAATTGTGGAATATGTTGCCTATTTTATAATCCTTGTTGTAGCATGGATGTATTTTTATAGAGAAAATACAAAGATAATTAAAATAGTATATATTAATTACACAGGGTTGTCCTTTGGGAAGATAATGCTACACTGCATATATTGCTATAGTAAGTATTGCAACACTGTATTAGATAAAAAGCTAATAGTCTTAACTGCATCTGATCCAGTGATCATCTGAAGATGCCTGGGTAAAAAGTAAAAGGAAACAGGACATACGTAAAGGGATCCTTTGGATGGAATTCATAGTCCAGTGATGTTATTATGGAGGCTGAAAATCATGGGTTAGAGATGAGATGGGTTAGAGAAGTTCATGGGAGAGAGCTCACCAGCGGTTATTAACAACAGTGGACTGGGTTCATTCTCTAGCTTAGGAAACCCTTATAGAATCAGTTGCTGGAGGCTGGGAAGGACTACCATGCCAAGGATGCTTTTAGGTTGATCTTGTTGCTTCAACTTGAAAGTTAAAGGGATAACCTTCAGTGATCATTGCTTGCTTTTTTCATATTAAATTCTCCAATGATGCAATTTAAAAATCCCTCTAAATATTTAGGGAAAAAAAGTGCTTTATAGCTTATCTGTTTTCCATTCATTTTGACACTAGACCTAGAAATGAGACATGCCTGCAAGCTTTAACGGAAGTCTGAAAAATGCAGTGGTTTACTCAAAAGGTTCATCTGGCCAGCCCTGAAACCTCAGACTCCATTTCAGACTGAAAAATAATTTTTCAGTGGATTCGGGATAACTTCACTGATTTGTGTAGAAGCCATTGCAATCTTGGTAGTTTCAGCACAGGCTAAATTAAAGTTTATGTTCTTATAACAAAAACAACAATCCTCCCTCTACCCTTACCCCCTGCAGTTGAATTCTGTAGATAGGAGAGCCTACAAAGAACTAAAGAGAAACATCATATAAACTCATGTGAACACTTCTTTAACAGCATTCATTTATTTCCTGGAGGTTTTATTTCTGATGTAAAGGGCAATTACCACTCAGCAGATTCTTGCTGTAGTAGCTTTCCCATTCCAGTTGCAACAGAATCCTTTCTTCTCATGGTTTTCCTTGGTTTTGCATATGAATTGATGGTCCAATATAACTCTTTGCAAGATGTCAAGACGTTCAGAAGGGTTTTTTTTCTGAAAATAAGGATGTTGACATTGTGTTGATGACAATAGCATTACTCCACAAGAAGCACAACTTCCTTAGAGCAGTACTACCTTATAGAAAGATCTCATTTTTCAAAAATTTGGTTTTGATGGAGAGAATTTTAAAAATTAATTTCCATGGGAAAACTTTCAGTATTGAAATATGTAATATTTGCTTGGCAATAATAAATGATTTTGCAAAGGGATGTAAAATAATTGTTGTCACTTATGGTGGCTGTCACACCAGACAATGGTTGCTCAGTGGAAATAGTCAAAATCCCTCAGCCAAACCCAAGAGAAATATAGTGAAAATCTGGGTGTCTCCGACCTGTCATTGTTTAACTGCAAAATGTATGTATCTGATAAACGTATTGTAAGAAAGGGTTAATATGGGTGTGCATGCGAATGTGATGGATACTTTCCCTCTGACTTTTAGGTTTGCAAGTGCACGCCAGTGCTTTATTGCTGGCTAGAGAGCTCGAGCCATCTGAGTCCCTGGAAGAAACCTTTCCCTCTCCTGCTTTGTGGTGCCAGCTTTCCACCCAGCCTGTACAGTAGAGATGAACATTTGTTCTGTGACTTGCTTGACACCAGCAAGGATTCTGTGGTGACATGGAGGACATAAGGTGTGCAAGAGCCAGGGTTTTGCCAGGCCTTCAGGTGAAGACTACCTTGTTATTCTTCAGTTTTCCTAACTCATTCATAACTTGAGCCAATCTAAGGTAAAATGCATCAGGTAGCATATATCTGTAAAAATAAAAACTTGAAAATACAGTTCAGAAGCGTTTATAAAAGGCAGAAGTGATGACAAAAAAGATCTGTATGTGTAGATCTGCTTAAACTAAGATTAAACCAGAGATGGTGATCCCCACCTCTCTGAGTTCTGGAACACCTACTGCATGGCTATAGATGAGTTCAGCTCCATATAAAACTCTCTGTTCAGTGGCAAGCATCCTGAAGGAATGAGTTTATGAACAGTTTGATTGGGGTTAATGTGAATTCCAGCAGCCTTGTGGGTTCTGGATTGGGGGCGAGGTGAAAGAGGAGAGGCTATTGAAAGCACACTTCCCAGGGCTTCAGCAGTAAGAAAGAAGCCTGAAAGCCCAGAGAAATAGGAAAGCCACCCACAAAGCAGTCAATTGGAATTTTTAGTATATATTTGGTAGCCTTTAATTAATCAATGGACAGATTAGATAAACATTTTGGAGGACAAATCTTGTGAAGTACTAACAGCTTTAGAGAAAGATTACAGAGAATGTCCTAAGTAATTGTGTTAGATTGTGAGTCTTAGCGGACAAGGAGGAAAATCTGCCTGCCCACTTACTGCTTATTTCCGTTCTCATTGAAGTCAATTGGAGTTTTGACATTGCCTTTTGTGGAAAAAGCCTGACCCTGTATTTAGTACATTATATTGAATAATTGCAACATACCTGCAGAATGATAATGAAAAAGAGTATGTCTTTGACCCGCTGCCTCTGGTGGCTTTGTTATAAGTTTGCTGAGGATGCAGCAGCTTCATATGAGCTGCTGCTTATGTACTAATTAATTTACCTGTGTACATATGAATAGCTCTTTTGCAGTGGTTTCCTAGCAATTCAATTCTGATATGCATCCTTTGTTTTCAGTGACAGGATGTGTGGGTGACTGGGTGTGCGTGACCACAGGCTTCCCTGTCATCGAATGTTCGGATAATTTTCATGATTACCTGTTCTTTTGGCAAATTAATTTGAGCAAGTCTCTTATTTGTCTTATACCTTCAGGGGTTTGGGATTTGACTCAAACTCCTATCAGAAAAGCAAAGCAGCTGGTTATTATATCTCTATTCCATATTCCAGTTCATTTTTATGAAGTTTATAAAGAAAGACTTCTAACACTTGAAAAAAAATATGTTGACTTAATTCTGCCTTGACAGAGAGGGCATTTGTCGGTGTTACTAATACAGCATCCACTTTCTTCTAACTGCTGAGTTCTAGTAATGAAATTATTTTGGTATCAAAATATGCAAGTATATGTGTGTGTGTTTTTGTAAATGTGTGTTCATGCATTAGGTAAGCTGCATAGAGGAAACTGCATCAGGTTTCTGTGGCAAGGGCTTGGTAGCAGGGGGAGCTACCAAAGTGCCTTCTGTGAGAAGCTGCTAAAAGCTTCCCCTATGTCCAATGGAACCGATGCTAGCCAAGGGCCTCTGGGATAAGAAGGGGCAAAAAAAGCCAACTGAGCAATGGCAGCCAGAGAGAGGAGTGAGAATCTGTGTGAAACAGCCTTGCAGACACCAAGGTCAGTGAAGAAGGAGGGCAGGAGGTGCTCCAGACCCTGGAGCAGAGATTCCCCTGTGACACTTGATGCAGACCATGGTGAGGTAGGCTGTCGTTCTGCAGCCTGTGGAGGTCCATAGTGGAGCCGATCTCCACCTGCAAACTGTGGAGGACCCCACACTGGAGCAGGAGGATGCTTGAAGGAGGTTGTGACCCCATGGCAAGCCCTTGCTGGAGCAAGCTTCTGGCAGGACCAGTGGCCCTGTGGAGAGAGGAGCCCAAATGGAGCAGGTTTGCTGGCAGGACCAGTGACCCTGTGGAAGGGACCCATGATGGAGTAGTTCGTGAAGAACTGCAGCCCACAAGAAGGACTCACACTGGAGAAACTTGTGAAGAACTGTTTCCTATGGGAGGAACCCCCTGCTGAAGCAGGAGGAGAGCATGAGAAGTCCTCCACTGGGGAGGAAGGAGCGGCAGAGCCCACAGACTGACTGCAGTTCATCATAGGTACAGAAACTGGATGAAAAGTTAAGCCTAGGAAGAAGGGAGGGGTGGGTGATTTTAGATTTTGTCTTATTTCTCATTACCCTATTCTGATGTGATCAATGATAATGAAGTTATTTCCCTAAGTCAGGTCTGTTTTGCCCAAGACAGTGATTGGTGAATGATCTGTCCCTGGCCTTATCTTGATCCACAAGCCTTTCATTATGTTTTTTTTTCATTATTCAGCTGAGGACAGGAGTGATAGAGTGGCTTTGGTGGGCACCTGTATCCAGGCTGGGCCACCCTACCCCAGAAACGTAATGCTGGGCAGTATCTGAACAGCACTCTGAGAAAATGCTGTTTGATGTGGAAGCTGTCTTTATAAAATTCTCTCTCTTAGTATTTGCTCTCAGTTAAACCCCCAGCAATCCTCTCAGTACTCCATTTGTTCTTTCTACTTATCCCCTGACGGTACTCAGAGGGCCATATTTCCCCATGCTGGTGATACCCTGCTTGTGCTGGTAGAGCTGATTGCTGAAGCACTCTGAAGAAATCCTGCTGCCTTCCTTGTGTCTGGCCTGATGGAGCAGCATTTATGCTTTTGGCAGTTAAGATAATTCAAATTAGGAAAGAAACTTCCTCACTTTAGGTGCTAAATCATTGTACCACAAAGTGATGTAGCTGTGTGTGCTCTTCCAGTGACAGACAAGTTGAGTGGAAGAAAATAAGCATTTTGAGAGAAATGAGCAGCCTTCATGCTCCCAGACAGCCTCCCATCCCATGAGCATGTGGTGAGAAGTACTTTAGTTGTGGGTCCCCTGAAGCTTCATGGGACCTCATGCAAGTGAATTTCAGTAGCAATTTCTGATATTGTATCAGATTTTCCAAACTAATGAGTTTCAATACTAATTTTCACACAGGCTGGGGCAAAGCAGGACGTGAAAACACCAGTTTTACAGAAAAAGAATGATCAAGTGTAAAAGAACAAAGGAGAAAAGAAAAAAAGGTCTCTACCTCTTTCCTATTTTGTTCTTTTTGTTTATCCTGTTTTGCCTTTTTTAATTCTCTCAGTCTTGGATTATTTTTTTCCTTAATTGGCCAGGAATTGTCAAGAATCAATTCTGACTGTGGGAAGGCATGATGTTACCTTTCTCACTTTCTTTGGGCAAAAAGACAAGCTACAAGTGAAATATCTCCCTAACAAGAGTCAAGAAATGTGAAAATCTCTTCTTTTATGACCATGTGCAGGTAAGAATCCAAAGCACCGGCAAAACAGATACCATCTTTCCCTAATATTTCCACTTCACGTTGAAGTTCACTCTACCTGAGAAGCTCTTGGGCATCAGCTGTTGAGAGGAGAGCTGAAGAGATGCTGCCCTCACATGAAAAACAGAGAAACGGATTTTTTTTCTCCCTATTAACAGTAGAGATGCTGTGGCAGTGCCCCTTCTGAGTTGGGTCCTACCTCTGAAGCAGTGCATTAGGGCTTTGGGTAGACAGCTCAGTTTGGGAGGGCATAAAAAAAGGACTTGTTCAGGTCTTGGTACAAATTTTCCATTCAAAGAAAAAGTGACAGACGTTTCTGGAAAGTCTGAAAAATTAGATGCACTATAATTATTTTCTTCAAGCATCACAGCTTTTGACGTATAGACTGAGCCATAAAGAGCTCCTCCCTGCTCACTCCATCTTTTATTTACCACATGGGAACTGCGTCCTAATGTCAAGCTGCTTTATATTTTTAGTAGCATACTGCTTTCAGCAGGCATTGTTAAAGAGCTTCACCTGCCTCAGTACTTCCAGTATGAAAACAGATATTCATATTGTCCAAAAATGTTAGAACTTCTCTGAATTTAGTTGTATGTTTGAAATACTCAATACTTTAACTTTTTGAAAATGAAACTTGGGGGTAGCATTGATTCCTACCTTTAAATGGCTCCCTAGTTTAGAGTATTTCATAGAAATAGAAATATAGAAATATATTGAAATATTTTGGGCAAATCTCAAAAAGATAAATGTTGGTCTTCATTTCATGTAGAAGCCACTCATCTTAAAACCAAGAAATATCACTGTGCTTTAAGTGTTCATGCAATTCTAATATTGCTTCTGCTGCTGCTGAGGTTGGCTTTAGGATATGGGTATCAGTTATACAGAAATTAGCTTCAAATTCTGATTCATGACAAGCAAAACCTGTAGCTGTTAGGAGGGATGCCTGATGTAATAAATATCCTTAACTGATGGCCTATCAAGAAATACAGTAAATCTAAAAAAAGCAGCCGTGTATCTAATGGTAACTCATCTTAAATACGTCTAATAGCAGATACCTTCAGCTTCTAAAAATTGCTTTTGATTTTCTTATCCAAATAGATACTTTCACTAGTCTGACAATAAGAGACGTCCATTTATTAGTTTTTCACAACTGGAGATGTCACATAGTTACTACTGTTGATAAACAAGCTTCCTCACAGCTGACTACATAACCCCTATCTCCAGAAATCCAGGCATCGCTTCCGAGGGAAAAAAGTTAGTGGGATTGAGGGGAGGAAAAATGCCATCTCTGCCAGCAACAATGGTGATGGGAACATGGAATATGACTGAAAATTCACATTGTTTCCTCTTTGGAGGAAATTTTGTTTCATCTTGAATTGCATGAAGAGTCCATGCATTGTTCCAAATGCAGATAAATGCATGGTCATAATTCAGAGGAACGTGTTGAAATTCTATTTATGTTACTGCATTATGGAAAGATGAATCTACAGAAAACTGCATATTCACACACCCTGTTCAAAGCATCTGATTTTGTTCAGAGCCCTCTGGAGGTGTCAGTCAGTGATCAGGGACCCTATCTTCATTCACTGGTATGCAAACTTAATGTCTAAAGTGACCCTACCTACTAGCAGAGCATGCGGAGGATAAAAAGGCAAGATGCTGCCAGTGCCAGGGTACTGTTGTAGAACAGAGTTGTGAGCCTCGTCATTGATCCTGGATGGTTTTCTTTGCTTTAGTAAAATGATGCAATAGGACAAAGAAATATTGTTGGGAATTAAAATGTGTCAAAAGGGAGCACA